ATCGTATTAATGAAACGTAAAATGGCATTTAACTGACGAGGAATTTTGCTGGTGAGAGATTTTAATTGCTTTAGCGTGTAGAAGCTAGTAAGCCTACTATTTTGATTTGTTTTAGACAGGCTCAACATGTTTCATATGCAGACCTTATTTTCATGTTCCATGTTAAAATAAACCATTTTCAGTGATACCGCTGAGAGTAATTTTTTTGGTCATGGAAAATGAGGTAACTGTTATTGAGAAGTCATTGAAAATCATTGGTGAAAAAGTGTATGAACCCTGGATATTAATACAGCTGTAAGCTTTTTAGTCCAGTCAAACGCTTTTATACTTCAGTCGTGCTTTATGTTTATGAAATGACCTCTATACTGATACCCTCATTTGTATTTCCTTTTGCAGGTGTTTGTGCTCTCCACACACCCTTATGGCTGCAGAGTCATCCAGAGGATCTTGGAGCACTGCACCCAGGAGCAGACTCTGCCCATCCTGGAAGAGCTGCATCAGCACTCTGAACAGCTGGGCCAGGTGAGCACATCTGTCTCGTTTCTAAGTGAACCTAGATGTTTGTCTTGTTAGATGTGACAGATTATTATTGATGTGTATTTGCATGTCTTCCTTCATGTTTGAGCATTTCATATTGTCAGCTTGTCATTGTACCTGTGTTGTAAAATGTAAGGATGAATGTATGTATACTGTTAGCTGTCATTACATCTGATGTATGTGATTATTTAAACATCCACCCTGCCCCCTCACCTATTCCATCTAGAAATATCAAGGCGTATCATTGGAGATGACACCCAAAACATATTATACAGTGTCCCGCGATGCACTGTTCAAGGTCAGAGCAACTTGCCTCTCTCTCGCGGATGTCCCTATGCTCCCTTCCTCTTTCCCTTTTTTATCTTTTGTTGTGTAAAGAATCTTATTTAACATTTTAGATAGTTTTCCAACTACTACAGGCCTTCTTCTAACCCACTGAGCCGCCTCTTTCTCGCCTTTCTCTCCTTCTTGCTTTATGCCACAGAGGATTTCAAAAGACACACCTGCTGTCTGATGATCCCTCTCTTCTGCCCGAAGCATCTCCTGATCAATCTGGGTTTTTTTTATCGCCTTGATTTCACTGCTATTGTTAGAAGAATTTGAAACATGTAAAGGATTAATCTTACTTTAAGAAATTGGCTTGAATTAATATATTGCAGGTTCTTGTTAAAACAGATTGACAGGAAATGGATTTGAAGGCTATCAAATGAAAAGTGGAGGTCTCGTTACCTACCCAAAAAAACTACTAATTTAACACAATCAAATCAGAGTGGTGTTATTTGTTGCTTGGGCAGGTGAGTTTTTGTCGCACTAAAATAACACCATAACTGTCCATCACCCATTCCTGAAGGGGCAACGATGCTGTTGGTCATGTTTGTTCATCAAACCAACAGCATCTGCTTTGTCTGACCTTCCGCAGTGATGACCATAACTTTTTTTTTAGTAAGATCCAAATGGGGGTGTCACTCATCGGTCTATCGATCACTGTAGAGATGCATGATTATCTCGCAAACAATTTAAATCAATGTTAAATAGTGTTGCATGAGCATCAATCGCAATAAAGGGTGTTGCATGGGTCCTTTTTATGATTTTAAAAAAAAAATTTTTTTTAATATTGAAATGTTTTTTTCACCCTGAGCTCACACCTCCACTGCCTCCTACAGGATCAGTACGGTAACTACGTCATTCAGCATGTTTTGGAGCACGGCAGACCAGAAGACAAGAGCAAGATCGTCGCAGAGGTTCGCGGAAAGGTTCTTGTCCTCAGCCAACACAAATTTGCAAGGTAAGTTGTCTTGTTTTGAATGTAGACACTTTGAGGAGGTGTACCTCGCAGCGAAACACATTCAACTGTTATTGTCAGTCGTCTGATGATTCAAAAAGCAGTAATAATGACTCAGCCTTTCCAACAATGAAAGCGTCCACCATGACGGATAACGGCTGTGTAACTCTTTCAGCACAGATGATGAAACGGAAGCTTTTCTCTTTCTTTTCTCCTTCAGTAACGTTGTGGAGAAGTGTGTGATCCACTCTTCGCGTGCGGAGAGAGCTCTGCTGATAGATGAAGTGTGCTGCCAGAAGGACGGGCCCCACAGCGCCCTGTACACCATGATGAAGGACCAGTACGCCAACTATGTCGTCCAAAGAATGATTGACATGGCAGAACCTGCTCAGCGCAAAATCATCATGCACAAGGTTGGAAAACTACAAATCTGTTTCTCTATAAATACAGTGTACCAATGATTTTTAAAAAGTACTTTACCTCTTATGCGATAGAGCAATAACTACAACTTACTCATTTCCCCTAACTTCAAAACAATGCGATGGTCTGAGCAACTTGTGAAAAAAAGGTTTCCTCCAAAAAGGGACTATAGAACATAAATTATATTTTATTTGTTATCTTCCTGTATTTAATCCATATTGCTTGTGTTTTGACTCTTTAAAATGTTTTACATTAAACCACACTGACTATGATCTAGGGTTTATTTTTTGATTGTAAGAAATGCCTGTAAATTAAAGTGTTCTGACCAACAAGATTTAAAATATTGTATTTAAATTAGGGCCGGGACTTTAACGCGTTAATTAAGATTAATTAATTACACAAAAATTATCGCGTTAAAAAAATTAACGCATTTTAATCGCACTTATTTTTGCACCGCGGAACGTTTCTCACTGGATGAGTTTCAGGGGTACCGATTATACTGGAGCACCAACTAACGTTCATTACTTCAGACAACAACAAACCACAGTGAACAATAGTCAAACGTGAACGAAGAAGCTGATGAGACCGCTTTGGTTGGCCCCGTGGATGGGACATTTTGTTTTAAAAAACGGACCGTTTTTTAAAACAAAATGTCCCATCCACGGGGCCAACCAAAGCGGTCTCATCAGCTTCTTCGTTCACGTTTGACTATTGTTCACTGTGGTTTGTTGTNAAAAGCCAGATTTTGTATTTGCAGCTTCTTATGTGTTATAACTTTAGGATAAGGAAAACAAATTAATATTTAAATTAGGGCCGGGACTCGATTAAAAAAATTAATCTAATTAATTACAGGCTTTGTAATTAATTAATCGCAATTATTAATCGAGTCCCGGCCCTAATTTAAATATTAATTTGTTTTCCTTATCCTNTTCCTGTTAAGATTATACCAGGTTACACGCCCCGCTGTACAACCAAACCTCATGCTCTGCTTCTATAAGTTAAATGGTAGCTTTCTTGTTTTGCATAAACCCCGAGTGATCACTTGGATGAGGCTCAGTGGATGCAGCAGCTCAGGTTGGTCAGTCTGTAATATTTAGTACCGAAACAGATAGTTACATCAGGCAGACTACAAGCTGCTGGGGTAAACAAAACGCCCGCCCCCGATTGGGAAAGGAGGCAGGAAAAAGCCACCACTGGGAAACACCGCCCTACACTGAAGCACCAATCCCTAAAGCGGAGTTCGCACTGCGGTCTTAAGAGACGTCGGGTTCACTGTGGCACAGGACTCGTCGTATTCACCTGTGGATTGTATCCTTCCACACTATGTAGTGCCATCTGAAAACGAATCCATCAGCTGCTTTGGCATGGGAAAACACTTTTACTGTGCACGGGAGAATATACAAATATAATCATCAATTGCCTAGATCTCATTAGAACAGCTGACATAATAAGTCTGGTTACAAAAACAAGTGGAATTGTTTCTTTTAAAAGGATCACTCAGTTTAGCCTTATAAAATCACTTGCTGGTGTTAAATTGTAGGAATTGGAAATTTCAGCAAATGTGTATAAGTTTTTTTTCTACAGAGAATTTACAAGGTAAAAAACTAAATGTACAAGATAATATGAAAACCAGTCAAATACATCAATTACATCATTAACAATGGGCTTGTGCTTTACCCAGGAACGGAAAAAAAGAAAAAAGAATCAGCCTGCCGACTGAGCGCCCCCGGGGGCCGCGGGACGGGCCGGCACCAGGGGGCAGAGCGGCAGGGGGTCAGTTGTCACAGCGTTCTTAGGTGAAGTTGACTTGTCTGTGTTTTTATTTTTTTGGTAATTCCCCCAAAAATGGGATAACAGAGGGTGTCAAAGGCTAACCCCTATGGCTAAGGAGCATTTCTCACAGAACAGGGGGTTTGGGGCTCGTAGTCCTCCGCTTCTCTCCGGGGGGCCCAGGGTGTCGACGCGACTACATGAGGCCGTTAGTGGGGCCACCGATGGGACCCAGCTCAGAGCCGCTCTTCATGTAGTATTTCTCCAGCTTGGCCAAAATGTGCTTTCCGTAGGTGTACTTACGTAAAGTGGCAATGTGAGGCCGGATCTGAGAAGGGAGAGAAGGCGCAGAGGTCAGCAGAGCAGAAACCATTAGTCCATTCATTATTGAGTTCATCTAAAAACATATTTAATAAATCAATGTAGGTCAGTTCTGAGGCCATAAAAGCCAGATTTTGTATTTGCAGCTTCTTATGTGTTATAACTTTAGGATAAGGAAAACAAATTAATATTTAAATACAATATTTTAGATCTTGTTGGTCAGAACACTTTAATTTACAGGCATTTCTTACAATCAAAAAATAAACCCTAGATCATAGTCAGTGTGGTTTAATGTAAAACATTTTAAAGAGTCAAAA